TTCCCCACATAACCACTCCCTTCCTCACACACTGGTGTCTGAGGGCATTGGGCTGAGGACTGGGAGTGAGGGGCACCAGCAGGGTTGGCCAGGGGGCCGTGGGTTTGGAGTGAGGTGTACCAGCAGAGCCAGGAGGCTGTGGGTCGGGAGTGAGGCACACCAGTAAAGCTGGGGGGCTGTGGCTTGGGAGTAAGGGGCAACAGCATGGGCACAGGGAGGGCACTGGCATATCAGGGCTGCTCAGTACCACAAAGCTATGGGGTGGGAGGAACAGCTGCAGCTGGACCTGTGTCCTGGTGAGCAAAGGGGGCAGGGGGAGCTCTAATTTTCCATGATAAAAAACCCAAAATCAAATGTCAAAATTTACAGATATTTAGAATTTTTTTTTATTATTATGATTGAGGCACTGGTAGGCTTCCAAATTGCTTAAAACTTGTAAACGTATCGATAAAACATTGTTCTCAACTGATATATTATCTATCTATCTTTGGGAGTTTCATTTTAAATCACAGAAAAATGCAGGTTTTGGGGCTTTTAATCAGAGAATTTGCTATTTTTATCAGAGAATTTGTCATTTTTAAACAGACAAAACCAGGATCCCCCATCATCACTTCACCAAACCGAAGAATCATAAAGTCCATGATGGTAAGTGGTGGAAATAGAAATGAAATGGCTGTGGTTACTTCTAGGAAGATTTCCCAGATCTTCCAAGCTGCTGTAAATCTTTTCTACAAAGTGTTGGGAAGCATGCACATGCAAAATCCATGACATGATACTACCAAAGATAGTGGCAGTTCCGTCAGTAAGTCACCAGTTTGCTCACATTTCCATTCCTGCCAGCTTCCAGGGTCTAATCAGAGCAAGGTTGGCTGCTTGGGATGAAAGTCCTGCTCCACACAGAGGCCTGATATGTGGCCCAGAAGGGCACTTCAGCCATGAAATCTAGGATATGGCTCAGTGGGGGCCAATATTTTTGGCAGGGATGCCACAAATTAGCACCCCTGCCCAGGGCCAGTCCCATTCCCTTCCCCTGTCCTATCTGCTACTCTGCTTTCTCCTCCTTGCAATGTGCCTCTGATCTGCTGCTCTGTTTTCTGATTCCTGTTCTATCTGCCACTGTGCTGCCTCTGCCCTCACAATCTTATGTGTACTGCACACACACATGCCACAAGTTGGCCCCCTGATATGGCCAATTGTTCAGCATTTGACAACACGTACGCAGAATTCCTGTGCAGTGAGCACACATTGCAGACGTGTGTGTCTGAAAGTTGTTGTGCATTTCATGGATTAACATTTGAACTACAAACTGCTGATGAGCAGGCTTCAGTTACCCAGCATCTGGAACAATACATGTTTGCTGTTCCTAATTATCTCCACCTCACTTCACCCATCTCCCTGACTCAGCGAGAACCATCATACCCTGCTTCACAAGACAGCAGATTTAAAGGTCCAGCAGGCATGATCCTGGACCAAAAGGATCAAGTCCCAGAGTCCACTGCCTCCCAGTCTCAGAGTCATTTTGAAGAGGTTTAAACTCTCTCTCAGAATGTTTCTCAGGGTAGGTTGAAGATATGAGACTAAATTTGGAGGCTGAGGCACTATACCATGGAAATCAAAGTCTCTCTGCAAATCTCCCAAAACAGTGTGAGCATAAGCATTACCACATCAAAACAAAGTGCCAGGAAATGCATAGTTAAGGTAATGTTTCCTAATGAGCACTCCATCTCCTGCCCTAAAACAGGGCGTAGCAACTTGCAACCCATAGAGCCATCTGATCCAACCAGCAGATATAGGGCTTTGAAGATCATTTGGTGGTGGTGGTCTTCAGCAGTAGCTGCTCTCCCTGTGCCTACAGGGAGAAAACCACCAGCTGTGGATGGGTCTTAGTGCCCACCTTTCTTGCCAATGACCTGAACTGGATCACTGGCTCGCAGCCTAAAAATGTTGCTGCCGCTGCCCTAAAAGGGTACCACAAGATGCTCAAGCATAAGAAACAGTACCTTACCCCTCTCTAGACACACACGTACCATATTTTCTCATATACACACACACCATGGAATATAATTGCACCTTGCTTTTGAAGGCAAAAAATGAAGAAAAAAAAGATTTTTCCAGCTTTATGGCTGCATACAGCAGGGATGTGGCCTAATCTTCAGGTTACTCACCCTCCCTTTCCCACTTAACTAAAGCTTGAAACCCAGCTGTCATTGGAAACTGCTCTCCAGGGGTAGATTTATGATTTTGATTAGAACTAGTCTCTCCAAGGCACTGTGAAACAGGAGTAGAGACCAGGAGCAGCTAGCACACAGCAAAACTGCCCTGAAAAGGGTTAGCTTGATTGGTGGAACATCAAGACCATTAAAAAAGTCATAAATGTTAACACCTGTTCAGTGAAGAACAAGGAACCTTTAAGTCAACTGACTCCCTTAGCTGCCTGAATATTAACACAACATCGACTGCATTGTGGACCAGGAATCAAAGCACAGTGCTTCTAATCTGGGAAACAAATCAGCTACCCCACTTAATATAAGCATCCCAAGGGTGGGGGGGAGGGAAGGAAGGAGGAGACTGTTTTAAGGGGGAAACTGCATATTGTACGTAAAAAATACAATATTTCAGATGGTTCCAACTCAACTCCCAACTGCTTCAAATGACCCAGTTGTTAACACAGAGCTGGCAGGTCTCCACATCTTATGTGAGCCTCTCAAGCTTTCCTTTCAATCCCAAATGCTTGCCTCCAATTGTAAGCCTGTTTCTGCATGCACACCAGATACATATTTAAACATTATCTGAAAACTAGCCAATTGCCCATCAAGAATGATGGGCGAGAGGTGCAGGCGGGGACAGAGGCCCATGTCCTGCTCCCCCCACCCCTTCAGGGCTGGGCCTGCTACCCCTTTCCCTCACTGTGCTGCGGGGTCAGGCCTGACCCCTATACCCTCTCTGCTGCTGTTGTGGGGCTGGGCCCGCCCCTCCCCCCACCCCCTCTCCAGCATTTGGGGGCTGGGCCCACCCCCCCAACCTCCCCACTGCCAGGCTGGGCCCAAAGCACCCCCCACCCATAGCCTCTATTTTGGAGCTAGGCCAGGCCCAGTGTGCCCCCCTCTCCCCACCTTCCCCACCACTGTTTTGGGGCCAGGCGCATCTCCCCACCCTCCCTTCTGCTGTTTCAGGGCTGGGCCCGCTCCTCCCAGCTCTCCCCCTACATTGGGTTAAGTCTGCTGCTCCCCATAGTCCCATCCCCCGCCGCCATGGCAGGCTGGCTTCTCCCCACACTTTGGGCCTGATCCTCCACACCCCACCACTGCTGCCACATCAGCCCAGGCCCGCTGCTCCCCTCCCCCACCTCCCGCATCGAGGGAGCAACGCAGAAGAGAGAGCGGGCAAAGCCAGCAGTGCTGACCTTGGCCTCCTCCTCTGTATTCGCTGCCTCCAGGAAACAGGGCACTGGCCTCCCCCTCGCTCTCTCTTTTGTGTCCCCACCACTGATGCTCCACTGCACTGCCACCTCCTGTCTGAATTCTCTATTTGCACTCCGATTGGCTGATGCAAACAACCAATCAGAGTGTGAATACAGCATTATGGACAGACAGACGGACACGCTATGGCTTTTATAATATTAGAATGTTCACAAACACAAGCAAGGCACCCTTAACACAGACACAAGCAAGTTTGTACAGCACAATGGGACTCCAATACCAATAGGGTCCTCTGGACCTTACTGCATAATAAACTAGTTATTACAACTTAGATATATCCATGGTGATGACCAAAACTTAACCGGTTTTAACTGCATAAACTACATTATACCTTTCCAAGAAATTTCTAACAGGATAATAAGCAGTTTCTAACAGGTGCTTTTATAAAAGCTATTTAAAAAAGATGCAACTTTCTTTCATCTAGTTTTGGCATTCTTCTCTTCCTCCAAGGCCCACAAACAGGTAACGTTTAGCTTGGCACACTAGCAGTTTGAAGTCTGACATCTTGTGGCCTTTCATGGCTAGAATCCAGAGCTTTCTACAACTTGAAAAAGAGACTCCCAGCTTGAAAACAGAAAAAAAAAAACCCACCCACTACTGGGCTTCAAACTTATACTGACACTGTACCACAGGTCATTGTGAGAAATATCAAATCAACTTAAAAAAACCCCAAAAAATCCTGAGCATCATTTACAGGTCCAGAATGGATCTTGCATTCCTTAAATAACAACTAGTACTATACTTAGGCTTGGCAGAAATTGATTTTTATAGTGTTGACGGATAATATCAATGTTTATTTTTAAGCATTTATTTTGATTTTTATCAATTTAACTTTTCAGGATTGCGCAAAATTAAGGGGGTGGGGGGCAGACAATTTATTAATGACAGCATACTATTATTGTGGTGCAGTTTAACCACCTATCACAATAAACATCACTACTGTATGACTGCTGCACTGTAGAGCTGCCATCAGTCCCATTCCACTCACCCATAGCTCCCTTATCCATTTTGTCACTTCCGTTCCTTTGTTCCCAGGCCTCTGAAGTTTCTGGGAGTTGCAGTCCAATTACAGTCAGCACAGTTCTCTAGAACTGCTCCCTCCTGTCATCACACACTCCATCAGCCATCATTTTTCTTAGGTCCCCTTTTTATATATGTTGATTATGAACAATGGGAAAAAAAAAATCAGAGGTCTGTGAGTAACTAAATCAATGCTTATTTATTGTTTACCAATAAAAATTGAATCCTGCCAAGTCTAAGCATACTAAGCTAAGCGCTCTAGTCATAGTGATCAAGGGTGCTGCAGGGTGTCATATAATGTTAGCACTCTAAAGTGTGCAAACATGACTCACAAGATAAAACCAGAGATTTCAAACAGGAATCCATAGTGTTCTCCTGTTCTGATCTTTTGCAGTCTTTCCAGGTTCTTTACAACAGAAGAATTGCTGTTATTTTTTTGTAGTAAAAAAAAAAATAAGTGAAAACTAAAGTGCTGGCATTTTCAGAGAAGTGCTTTGAGTCTAACAAGGCTGACAACTGGACTAGATTGCCACACTGTGAGGTTCTGTGCGCAAACACGTATGCATGCGCGCGCGCACACACACACTTTAGAGATAGCTCCTTCCTCAAAGAACTTAGAATGCAGGTACAAGACAAGAAACATGAACACAAACAACATTATTCAGCAGAATAGCAGCTGTCTCATCAGCAACATAACCACTGTCAAGTTTTTGCAAGCATCCCATCAAAGGAAAATTTTAAGAAGAACAGTGAAGTGGCTGTACTGACATTATAGCAAGGACTGCCTCTCAAGAATGAAGGGCAGCACAGTGGAAGTGCTTGTTCAAATAGCTGAGAAGTGGGCAGTAAAGGAAATCACCAAGGGCTAAAATCAGCTTCTGAATAGTGACATAGATGTGACTGGGCAGGTAAAGGCTGTGGAAGGCCTTCAAAGTAAAAGCATGTGGCTTACATTTGATGGAACAGAAAAGAGGGAGCTCGTGGAAGGAATCAAAGAGCAAGCTAACGTGGTCAAAGCATAGACTGAGAAAATGATGTTCCAGCAGCACTCTGGAGGGACACAAACTGGGCAAGATCACATTTGTCAAGACCAGAGAATGACAAGGGTACAAGAGCCAAGACACAAAATGACAAATATCTGGATGAGAGACTTAGTTGTTTGCATGGACACAAAAGGATGAAAGCTAAATGAAAGCTACACTGTGGCAGTTTAGCTGTTGCTGAAAGGGACTAAACCAGGAGCGTCAAACTCACCTTGTGCTCCTGGGCTAGATCCAACCAGGGGCAAAAGCAAGCAGCAGAGGTGACTCCAGCTCCATTTCCAACCTAGAACACATAGCAGTGGCAGCTCCACTTCCTTCCCAGAGTACGTGGTGGTGGCGGAGGTGACAGCAGCTGTGGCTCTGACCCAGGGCATAAAGTGGCAGCTCCAGCCCTCACCATGTGCCCCACACCAGAGCCAGAGCTGCTACTGCATACTCCAGGTCCAACGTGCAGCTACTGCCACTGCATGCCCTGTGCTGTGGTACCAGTTCCAGATCTGGCTCCAGTCCAAAGCACACAGCAGGAGGCCAGTGGTCAGGGATGTAGGGGTGTGACAGTGGCAATCAGGACCATCAGCTTTCACTCCCCCTCCTGCTGCTGATTTCCATGTCCACCAGGGCCTAAGGGCCCCAGATTCTATGGCAGGCCATGCCCCCCAACTTCCTAGTGGCCTACTGGTAGTCCAGTGGGCTGAACAGAGCAGCTCCATGGATTGTATGTTTGGCATGCCTAGCATCTGTCTGGGTCTGACCTGTTATTAAATTATTGTGCCAGGGAGAGATTAAGGCCTGTGCACACACTAACAAAGAATTTAACAGGCAACTAATGTTGAAATATTGGCAAACGTACATCATTACATTTTTCAGGATAAACTCCCCTTAATTTCTAAATGGAACACCTTCCCTGAGCATCTTCAATCTCTTGCTTGTCACACTGTAAGTGCTGGACCACAAGGAGCATGCAGCTGCTGATGCTGAATGAATTGTTACCATCTTAAACCTCCTGGCAGATGGGAAAGAGACCAGGAAAAGTTTGGCAGCTTCTGAAGCCTGTTGCATGTGCTCCTGAATCCAACATGGTTCCCAGAAACAAGAGAGGATGCAAACTTCTTATCAAACCTGGCTGAGAGATTACCAGGACAAAGACTCCCACCCCGGTGAGTTCCCACCTGCCCAGTATTAAGATGTTTCCAATCCCCTATGCATTAAAGCAACAATCTCAGACATATACTCAATAGCCCACAAAAAATAAAACAAAATAACAATAACGATAATAATAATACCACAGCCACAGAATGGCAACTTTCCTGAGTCCAGCTTACACGGCTGCATAACACCAGAAGGTCATAAAAGCTGCTGTTATACTGTTATGTCCTTGGCTCAACTACTAGCTGTTTACATTGGAGCCAACAGTTCCTTCTGGCACTGCACTGATCTCCCAGAAGTCAACAGTCATTGCCAACCACGGGAGAAAACCTAATCCCAGTTTACAGGTCTCAAAGCATCAATGGACGTCACTTAACAGTGCGATTGCCCTTTAGGAATGGAAAATGACACAGCTGAACCTCTGAGTAATGCTGCCCTAGCAACCAGGGACAGCAGAAAGGGAAAGCCCTGGGCAGGTACCATTTTCTGTCTGTTTTATAAGCAGTATTATATGCACTCCAGGAGCACACAGGAGACACTGGGTGCTGTCTGCCAAAATCCCCTCCCCCACCATAAGAGAAGAATGACATAGCAGGGAAGAGATGAAGACTACCCAACTGTGTAAAATACCATTAAAAATATACACAACACATTTTAACATCCCTAACTGCCCCACTGACTCATTTCTTCTTTTCTTAGTAGAAAACCCCCTTCTAGAGCAATGTCAAGGAGAAAACTGCAACCTTACAGGGTCTGTGAGAAGGGGTAGGAGGGAAGAACTCTCAAAGATGACTGTAAGGAAATGGCCTTGGGACAAATCCAGAATGACATGCATAGACTTGAAAAATGGTTTTCAACCAATGAGATTCAAAATGGACAAGTGCAAATTCCTGTACTGGGGACAGAATAGTTGCACGCAGAAATACAGATTGGGGAATAACTAGCTACGCTGCCGTACTGCAGAGAAAGACCTGGGGGTTACAGTAGATTGTAAACTGAATATAAGCCAACACTGTGCTCTTGTTGCAAAAAAAGTCAACAGCAGACTGGGCTATACTAACAAGAATGTCACCTGCAAATCAAGGGAAGTGATTCTTCTGCCCTATTCAAGACTGGTGAGGTCTAACCTAAAGTCCTGTGTCCAGTTTTAGGCTCCATACTTCAGGAAAGATATGGACAGATTGAAAAGAGTTTGGTTCAGGGCAACACAACACAGACACATGATGAATAGTGGCCTGGGAAGCAAGATTTAGGAGGAAAGGCAGAAAGAGACAGACTTATTATGTATGGAGAAGAAAATACCGAGGGGGGGATTTTATAAGTCGTCAAATACCTGAAGAACAAATATAGAGAGGATGGAGATGGACAAATATAGAGACGGATGGAGATGGGGTAGGCGTCATGAGGCCTGCATTGACGTGGTTAACCGGCAGCTTCGGAGCTGGTGCCACAAGGCAGGCTTTGGTTTTTTTGACAATGACCCATGTTTTTGTAAGGAGGGCATGCTGGGGTGGGATGGGCTTCACCTCGCCCCTAATGGCAGACGTATCTTTTCCTCTAGGTTGGCTGATCTCGTACGGCGGGCTTTAAAGTAGCTTTGCTGGGGGAAGGGGCTGCTTCGAGTGGAGAGGATGCTTCACCAGCACGCAGGGTGACAAGAGGAAGGGAAGCACAGGTAAGTATAAACGTCCGAGGAGCAGGAGGCCACAACTGTCCTGGGAGTGGGAGGAAGGCACGAGCACCCTCAGGAGGCCTCAGGTGCTTCTACACTAATGCTCATAGTATGGGGTGTAAGCAGGAGGAACTATGCCTCTTGATTGCAAGTAAGAACCCAGACTTAGTAGGGCTCACAGAAACCTGGTGGGACCCTACCTACGACTGGGCGGTGGGCATTCGGGGGTACACCCAAGATAAAAGAGACAGGACAGAGAGGAAAGGTGGGGGGTTGTGCTCTATGTCAAAGAGCACCTCACATCATCAAGGATTAGGTTAGAGAAGGGTCGGGCAGAGACACTATGGGTCAAACTACAAGGGAGGCATGGCGAAAGGGACCTTACGGTGGGTGTCTACTACAGATCACCCAACCAGGAGGAAGAGCTGGACCAGGACTTCTCCAGTCAGCTTATGGAGGCGGTTAGGTCAAGGGATGTCATTGTCATGGGTGACCTAAACTACCAGACATTTGCTGGGAGGAGCAGACAGCCTGGTCTGACCACTCGCACTCACATAGGTTCCTGGCTGTATTACAGGACCTTCACCTTATCCAGGAGGTGCACAGCCCCACTAGGGGTAATGCCTTGCTGGACCTGGTCCTGGCCACAGGGGATGACCTGGTGAGGGGACTGCAGGTCCTTGACCACCTGGGCAATAACGATCACCACCTGCTGGATTTCACTAACCAACACAGGGCATCTAGGGCTCACACCAAGGCTAAAGCCCTTGACTTCAGAAGGGCCAACTTCAATGAGCTTAGGAGACTAGTGGGGGAGGCACTGAGGGCCCAGAAGGTAGAGGAGATGGGAGTCCACGAGGAATGGTCGTACCTTAAGGGGGCGATCCTCCAGGCCCAAAGGATAACAGTCCCTGAGAGAAGCAAGGGGGGTAAGAGTGCTCAGAAACCCCCTTGGCTCAGCAGGGCACTCAGCAATGCCTGAGGACTAAAATGGGGGGCATACAACCAGTGGAAGGGAGGAGCTGTCACCAAGGAGGAGTACTCCTCCTCGGCCCGGGAGGGTAGGAGGGCTATTACGAAGGCCAAGGCAGAGATGGAACTCAGGCTAGCATCCAGGATTAAGGACAACAAAAAGTCCTTTTTCAAGTACAGTGGGAGCAAGAAGAGGGCACCAGGCAATGTAGGGCCCCT